GAAATCTTGTAAGAGCCAGGACGCAAATTTACTATGGATGACCTTGCGATCAAGTCACTCTCTAGACAGTTACGTAGCGTTGATTTATTTCACCTTTGAGTAGCATTTTTATTTTATGTCATCCCCCGATGCATACACAATATACTTAGAACATCACATAACATTTTCAAACTACTCATGCGATTTCCTAAAATTATTTGCCGAAGAAATGGAAGTGTTGGAAAAACTAACCACTAAAACAACTGGAATGCAACTCCACAAAAGTTGCGTTATAACAAAGCCAGAAATGGTTCACCTACACTAAATGATCAAACAATTGAGTGACAATCAAAACAACAAATTGAAACAAAAACTCAACAATTTATACAGTAACAGCAAGTGGAATTATGTTGGAAAGCCTAAATCTAATAGAAAATCTATTGAATATAAACCTTTCCAATAGAGAACGAGAAGCCCGCAGCTTCGGTTTAAAATTTTCCACCGGAATCTGCAAAGGAGACAGAGTAGACAGTATAGTAAAAAATAATAATCAAGACGACTCCAAATTCACCTAAGGTTTCATTCAACTTCTACTATAGAAACCAACAACGAAAATACATTACCACTGAGACACCTGTATGTACTAAGGAAGCTAACGAGAAATAAGAAAATCCACATCACTCCCTCTGACAAGGGAGGGGGATTGTGATCATAAACATGAATAAATACATAGAAAAAAATTAAATCACTTCTCAAAGATACCGACATATACGAAGAAATTAACGTAGAAAAATAACTGGGGAATCACACAAAATTTACACACAAATAAGGAAACTAATTAAAAATCAAAACAAATTTTGCTATAGACTCATAGAATATCACCCTAGGACGCCCAAATTTTACGGTCTCTCTAAAAGCACAATGCTAGTATTCCGCTGCGCCTCATCATCTCATGAATGGACAGTACCCAAACCACTATAAACAGGCGAAAACCATCACCAAATTCTAACCTCTTCCCTGGAAATATCAAGCCATGTCATATAAAGAACTCAACAGCCTAGTTGAAGACTAAAGGAAATGAACATAGCCGACAAAAGCATGACCAGTCTAGCTATAAAATCCATCTACACCAACCTTCCAGTTGAAAAATGACTAAATCTCTTAAAAAAGCATCTAACACCCAACAGCTAAATTAATAAATATCTGTCGTCTCATCACCAATCTTTGCTGCTTCACATTTAATAATGAGTCTCATAAAAACATTTAGATTACTAATGGGCTCGCCTCTCAATAGAGTGATGGTATGTATATTCTCAGAATTTCTCAAGCCTGATCTTTTCCAAAATATTTTACGCAAACAATCAACTTTCGTTATATTGATTATGCTCTACTTAAACACATTCGTGATATTGACTTACCTTACTATCTAAACTCAACATAAAATGTTTTACTACTACATCAAAGCAATAAAAGACTTAGTCAAAACTATACAAAACAATAATTTAAAACCTGAAAGAGGACTACACTCCATTGCCTGTAATAATTGTCACAAAAATACATAGCAGAAACTTCAAGGAATGTAAATAAAAGATTACATGTACACAAAGAGGATATTTTACTAAACAATATGTGACGTCAACCCGGCCTCTCCGCGCCCGTGCCCGTGCTATCCTGAGACGACCAATGTGACTTGGTATTGGTCGCGGCACCAAATGTGACGTTCTAACCCTTGGCTGATTCGGATGGGAATCTGGTTAGATTCGGTATCAGCCTTGTCGTTCCCAGCTCGCCTCCAACGTCTGGTTACCGAAGTAACTGCTTTGATTTCTAGTCTAACCTACCCACGTTGTGATTTGATCTTAGGTAGACGAAATCAATCAGTTGCCGGGCCACAATGCAAGTCGAGTCCGAGGAAAGGTAACACCGCACAAGTATATGTAAAATAAAATAAAATAACAACTCGAAAATTTCAAATGTGTTAAAAAAAGAATAACAAATATTTTTATATCTGGTTGCTGAATACAGAAGGACAGAATCTTTCTCCCAACCAGCTTATATGGATTCGTGACACTTTGTGTTTGTTAGGCGAGTCTTAATATCTACTGTTTTTTTTTTTTTGTATCTTCAGGTGATATTTGTATAACTTGTTTTGGTGGTGTGAGTCTAAGTCGTTCTTCAAAAATAAATTGTTCTTGGTTAGAAGTCGAAGTCGAGATGCGTGGATATTCAGTCAGCTTCCAACTCCAATTGCAACTTCTTTCTGCCTACTAACTCGCTGCGACTCTGCTTATATGGACGCCGACCAAAACCGGGTGTGAGCTTGTCGTGGTTTGGGATTCCTCGATAATTCTAAATCCACAATAAGGATTTTCTTTGTTTTCGGACAGGAGAATTTATCACTTTCCATTTTTGGAAGGCCCCTACTTTTTGCTTTAGAGGGGTTCTTAAGGGATTCGTCCTCACAAATTCCTCCTTTCTCATATTGGTATCTCACACCAATCCCCTCAGAGGGCGTCAACTGTTTTCCCTTCTTTCTCATAGTGGCATCTCACACCAATCCCCTCAGAGGCGTCAACAGGCCTCCTTTCTCTCTCACATGTTTACCTTCGCCTACCACTCACGCCACCATTCATCCAATGAACACTCAGCAGCGTGGGTGTTTACAATTATCGCTCAAAGGAAAAAAAAATGATCTTCTTTTTCTTTTCTTTCTCTTCCCGACACCAGACCCCTACGACTCGTAGTGTGGTCCTTAATCTCTATCTTAACCGAATGTCACCTGGACTTTATCAACGCGATTTTCGCCAGCGTCAAATGGGTGGTTAACTGGATGTATTCGCACTCTGTATCCAATTATCCATTCCGGTAACAAATTCTTATCATGGCCAGGTCTAACATAAAACAGGTGTTTTTCCCAAAACCAAATGATATCTCCGAAAGATAGTTAATGGTTTATTCTTCCCTTTTCCTTAGGTGGCCTAGCTGATGTTTTTTTTTCGGTCAGTACGCGACCTGATTACAATTATCTCCCAGCTTCTGTTTCGTAGGCCACTTGACCAATTTGAAATTTTCATTATTGCCATGGGCAGATGGCTATCTTTTATTCTTTGCCACTTTTCTTTGTTAAAAAAAATAACATCGCTCAGTATGTCTTTTCTTATAGCCTCAATTATTTCAGCTTCTTCTCGCCTTAATTATTTCTCGCTTTTAATTTTCACGCGACCGCTAAATAGTGTCACAAATACGTCAAATACGTTGGTAAAGAGACTGACCAGAATTTTCACGCAACAAATGCCATTCTTATTAAAAGAGAAAATAATTCACTACAACGTAAATATTTAGAAAGGTCATCTTCAGTAAATCTGTGCCCTGGCTCTTATATTTCACCATTCCTAGTAGATCTTCTAATCTCACGGTGTGTGATACCCACAAACAAAAGTGACAGAAAGAAAAATACTCTAAATGAATACTACTAGATAAAAAAATAAAATAAAATAAGAAAAATAAATAAAATCCTAAAATTCTCAGCATCTCTCATTCGTGCGCATGTATAGTACTACCAATATAACAAGTTTATTCCCATGGAGTTCTGAAGGACGAAAAGCATCAAAAGTAAACCTTTTCCGCTTTTCATAGAATTGCCCTAAAACATATATATGTGTATGTTTAACCCTAGAACACTAACCATGGGTATATAGTACCCAGCGCAAATTTTCCTATTTTTAATTACAATTTTCAGTACTTAATTTTCTTACCTAAATAATGTTTTTCAGTTCCCATTAATGTTAACTCAAAGTACAAAGTTTGAAGTGCCTGCATGTAAAATATTTCAAATAAAGATTTATATTTATTTTATTTTATTTATTTATTTATTTTTATTATTTTTTTTTATTGATATTTTCAAAATCAGGTATGATATACCCATGGTTAGTAGTGGTTTAACTTTAATTGATGTTTAGTGTTCTATGGTTAATAGCATGAAAAAACGTTGGGAATGTGTAAAACTATATTTCCACATCCTCCAGCTTTGAATTAGTATCAGAATAAACAAGTCTGACAGAGCTTTTTATCAGACAGGGTTCTCTTTCTACCAGACAGAACTTGGCAGCCAGTTTGATAGAAAAAAAAATTCTGATTTCAAAACTTTCAGGCTAAGATCCAGATAACTACATCCAGTTAAAAACTACTTGCTGTAGTAACCAGAGTAACTGAGCGTCTTGAATCTGTGGCTCTATACATTACAGCGGAGTCAACACGATATATTGATTTTCCAAGCGTAGCTTAGATGTGGCACACGGCCGAAATTACGGGGCACCGAGTGAGGATCGAACTCACTACTCACTCGTAATTGTTCTAGCGAGACAAGCTTGCTAACCATTACACCGCCTCGGGATACCCAAGCGATTTTCCAAGCGTAGCTTAGATGTGGCACAAGGCCGAAAGTATGGGGCACCCCGTGAGGATCGAACTCATTACACATTCGTAATTGTTCTAGCGAGACAAGCTTGCTAACCATTACACCGCCTCGGGATACCCAAGCGATTTTCCAAGCGTAGCTTAGATGCGGCACAAGGCCGAAAATATGGGCCACCCAGTGAGGATCGAACTCACTACTCAGTCGTAATTGTTCTAGCTATATATATATCCGTGGAGTGAGATGAATATAGTGAGAACGAGAGAACGAGAGGGTGGAAGTATGTTTCCCTAATGTTAGTAAATGCTGAAAACTCCTACTAAGACTCATGATTCTTTACTAGTTTTTGCTTTTTTACATGAGGTTTTCAAAGAGGTGACCATTTAATTATTTATTTAAAATAATGTAATTTCTATGAAATAACCTATTAGCAAAGAGGTTATTTCATTAAAAAAAACTTTCGTGTTGCTAGGCCCTAACATAAGAGCATTTCGATAAATATAACTTTGCCTATAATTCGGAATACATGCGAAAAACTTATAAAATGTGGAGTTCTATATTCATATTTATTGCTGCATGTTTATGGAAACTTTTTCTCTCACGCACGTCACGAATGAACAGAAATAAGAAAGAAAGTGCGGGTAACATGGAATGGCAAAAAATAAGGAGAAAAAGTGCAGAATAGAAACTTGGAGAAGAACGAAGAAAAATGCACCCAGAGAGGTGACAGAGAAGAGAGAAACAACGAGAAGGAAAGGAATAACAAAAGGAGAAGTAACAATAATAATAGAAGGAAAGAGATAGAAAGAAAGAAAGAGAACGAAAGAAGGAAAGAGAAAGAAAGAAGGAAAGAGACAGAAGGAAAGAGAAAGAGCGAAAGAGAACGAAAGAAGGAAAGAGGTAGAAAGAAGGAAAGAAAAAGAAAGATGGAAAGAGAACAAAAGAAGCAAAAAGGAAAGAAACAAAGAAAGAAGGAAGGAGAAAGAAAGAAGGAAAGAGAACAAAAGAAGGAAGGAGAATGAAAGAAGGAATGAGAAAGAAAGAAGGAAAGAGAAAGAAAGAAAGAAAAGAGGATCAAAGAAGGAAATAGAATGAAAAAGGAAAGAGAAAGAAAGAAAAAGAAGCAAAAAGAAAGAAACAAAGAAAGAAGGAAGGAGACAGAAAGAAGGAAAGATAAATCAGGAGTAAAAAAAAGAAGAGAAAAATAAAGAGTAAATAGAGAAATGAGAAAAGGAAGCAGAGAGGAAAAAGAAAAGCAAAAACAAAAAAGAGAACAAGAAAGAAAGAAAGAAAGAAAGAAAGAAAGAAAGAAAGAAAAAAGAAAGGTAGAGATATGAAAGAAAAACACTATGTATAAGGTGGGAAATAAAAAAGAAGGATTTAATTAGAAGAATCGATGGGGAAGAAAATAAGAAAAGAGGAAGGAAAAGTAAAGGAAAGAGATATAAAATGAAGAAAAAGAAGAGAGAATAATATAAAAAGATAAATGAAAAAAAATCAAAAATGAAATAAAAAATACAGTTTACTGAATGAAAAAATAGGGAGAAGAAAACATAGCAAATGATTTTTTTTTCAAATTAAGAAGAATAAACTTCCTAACCAAAAACATTTAATTAGGGAAGAGGATGACAAGTTACAAATATAAACGCTCGGGAAAAATATCTTAAAATATTTTTTTGTATGAAGAATAAAAAAGAAACTAACGCGCGAAAACGAATAAGACATAAGGGAAGAAAAGAGAAAAACGAGTTCATATCCAAGGAAAAGGAGAAGAAAGGCAAAGAGAAGAAATATAGTCTGAGAAGCGAAAGATCATAAGACAGAAAGAGAGAACGAAAAAAAGGAGCCAGAAACGGTGACAAAAAATAATAAAGAAATGAAATTCCAAAGAAAGAAAGAATAAAGGAAATGATCACAAAGAGCACATCTCGCGTCCATAACTTTCCAATATGGCGTGATGTATTGTTCAACGAGCAAAGTGGAAGCTAGAATGTCTGCAAAGTCGCTGACGGCATCGTCATTTGTTGCTTGTACATTAAGAAAGGCTTTTAGAATGAAACCAAAGATGAGAGGGGAGACGAAGAGTGAAATACGAAAAAAAAAAAGCCTTAATTATAAACACTCTGACTTGATTCGGTGCCAACTCCATTTTCTATTCCCCCAGATCTTTCACAAAGAAATCAGTCTTTTTCCTTTCTGTGTCTTCCACTCTATATTGCTTCAACTCTTTAGAAACATACATTTATGTAGATATTAACATGTGCCTTCGTGTTTACTCTGAACTTTGAAACCTCGTGAATGCACTCACATACTGCCGGTATTTTGATATAGTAGAGGAATCGGTATATGAAATGGAACAAAGGAAACGTTTTGGCGTATAAGAATCGTCATATATATATATATATATATATATATATATATATATATATATATATGTATATATGTATGTATGTATGTATGTATGTATGCATGTAGTGCGGTCTTCGCTTTATTATTTGCAGCATTTTTACAGATTTCACCTGATGTCGTAAAATTTATATAGGAAACGTTTTTAACGTTTCTAAGTCCACCACCTTCCACCTCTTCTTGTCTCTATATCGAAGGTTAGAATAGGTCTCTTGCCGTGGCTAGAATGAAAGACTTCGATGTACACAACTGCTTAACCTCACGCATTTTTTGCCATAGAATTCTTTGACGGCACTCAAGACATACTGAATATCAGCCCCAAAAATCTACGTACACTTTCGGAATAAAGTCGTACATCTCTGAAACGCAGTAATATCAGAGCTGGTGAATCATTAGACACAAGATTATTTAGGGGAATATGGAAATGATTTCGCATATATAAATATATAGATAGATTAAAGAGAATTATTCATTTTTGTGTCATTTCCATTTACCAAATATTTAATAGGAATACTTTACGTTTGGAGAGTAAATCTGTATATTCGAAGTTACATGAGCCAGCTCTGATATTACTGCGTTTCAGAGATGTAAAGGCAATTTTGAAATTATCCAATAAAAAACAACAATGGGGCGCTGACATGTGGCACAATGCATGCTCATGTCATGCCGAGTTGCTAGCCGCGCGCAGCATTTCATTTCTCAGTTATGTAACAACGAGCAACTAAGTTAGACATGCATGCTCTACTCAGCGACTGTAAAATCAAGAAACAATGCGTCGTAGGGCGCGTTCTCTGCTCAAAGGGAGTCGTAAGTTTAGAAAAGCCTAGGGGTGGGTAGAACGCTTTAAAGTGGGTAGAACAAGTGTAATGACGGACGAAAGCCAATCAGGTTGCTCATCAACATCGTGCATGGAAGAACCCAGCCAGAGTGGGGATACCTTGATCAGGGAAGGCCGACGAATCATGTTAACACAAATGGTGGCAAGAGTTGGCGCCATCTAAGCGTCTACACACGCTATGGTGCAAGATTATTTGGGTTATGGCAAAAATTTGTGCGCGTTTGTTGCCCCAAAAAATCAAGAGGTCCAGATGTGTGCAACAAAAAATCTTCTTTCCGGAAGGGAGGAAGATTTTTTTTTTGAAAGATAACCAAAAACGCATCGCTGTGCAGAGTGACGATGACTAAAAGAGATCTATGCATTTTTTTTTCTTGACTTTATTTCTTGATTTACCTTCGTATACATATTAATGGTAAAAGTCTGCAGGTAGGGAATCGATAGCATCTCGCCGTGAGAAAACATATCGCATCTACAATTAATCTTACATTATTTACGAACGGAAATGACGTGTCAAAGGAAAACCACGACGAATTCCAACCACGTTCCTTTCGCGGGACTCGAAATAAATACGATTTCTATAGGAATCATAAGACGACCTCTTAAAATACAATCAGGGAAAGACAATAATAACAACTAACAACAAATCGTAAATTGAAAATGCCTAACAAAATGGCCGAAAGTGCTTCGGACAATATACACTACAGACAATATTTAGAGTACGTTACCCCAACCAAACGGAACAAATATTAAGAATATGAGAAACTCAATAAAAAAATTAAGCTAAATTTCCTTCTCTTTTATATCAAAGAAACACACACACACACACACACACACACACACATATATATATATATATATATATATATATATATATATATATTATTATTTATAAAAAAATTATAACATAACATAAGTTATTATAAATAATAATTATATCTGCTCTACTTTGTATTGAGCACTCTTTTAAGAATAGTAATTGTTAGTTATTGGAATTCATTCCGTATATACCAATTATATAATTGTATATATATATATATATATATATATATATATATATATATATATATATATAATATTAGTGATAAATATACACATACATATGCAAAATATATAAATATATATACATAGATGCATACACATACATATATATTTTTTAATTAAAAAATTCCAAGAGGATAGAATCTAGGTAGAACTCAATATCCAGGACAGGGTAAGGATATAATAAAAAGGCTTAAACATGGAATATTAGTGTTTAAGCCTTTTTATTATTATTATTATTATATACATATATATATATAATAATAAAAAGGCTTAAACACTAATATTCCATGGTATTATATATTATCAGTATATTGCTCCTTACCTTTATACGATGGAATATTAGTGTTCAAGCCTTTTTTTTATATATATATATATATATATATATATATATATATATATATATATATATATATATAGTGCTGTTCGATAAAAGTGACTCACCTTTGAATTTAGCTCAACTTTCGTTTCATCGGAGAAGAGAACATTCTTCCAGTCTTCTACGGTGATATTTTTGTAATAGTGAGCCCATTCAAGGCTTTGTTGGCTTTGATTATTAGCGGCTTAAACCTTCGTGTACAAGATTTGTAGCCTTTTTCTAACAAGATTTGTAACCTTGTTCTGTTGAAGAGGCAAGACTAACACCTCGCTCTTCGCTTAAACTGGCTGCAATTTCTAGGGTAGTTATAGTCCTATTCTTTGCAACTTCTCTCTAGATTACCCTGCCAGTTCTATCATCAATCTTTTTCTTTCGTCCCCTTGGAGCAGGAGTGGCATTATTATGTTCCCTAAGCACTCGAGAGACAGCTGATTGCGAGGTTATAGCAATTTGTGCAATTTCTCTCATAGACTTGCCTGCTTTTGAGAGGGCAATAATAGATGCCTTCAGTGGTTCTGATGCGTGTTTGTACCCTTTCATCTGGTTAGTGTCTTGAGTGGCTATTTCAAACTGTTTTTATAATGTATGAGGCTTTCTGGAATATTCTGGAATACTCTAGATTTAATTTAAGCTGTTCTAGAATTCTCTAGAATATTGTTCTCAGTGTATTGTAAAATAGGTTACAATATTATCAAAAGCTGTACAAGTTTAATCATTAGAATTCGAGTTTTGCACAGTTTTTTCTTGAATCTCATGTATATCCAAATTTATAATTATCAATAGAATACCTTAGGGTGAATAAACATTTTTCCTAGGTGGTCGGGAAGGGGTCTTTATATTAGTATGATTAAAAATTATTTTAACCACCCAAAAATAGTCAAAAATGTTTTTAGTAAAAAAAAACAGGTGAATCACTTTTTATCGAACAGCACTGTACATATATATATATATATATATATATATATATATATATATATATATAATGGTGAGGTAGAAAGAGATTTATATTGAAGATATTCAAAAGAGATTTATATTGAAGGTATTCAAAAACCCAGTACAGAAAGAAAAATTCAAACAAAATACTTGAGGAATCCTCGCTTTAAATAGTTCTTCGCTTTTAATACAGTTAAAGTTTATATATTATATATATATATATATATATATATATATATATATATATATATATATATATACACACATATATATATATACATATATATATATACACACACACACACACACATATGTATATATATATATATATATATATATATATATATATATGGGAAAAATGTACGTCAAAGTTGAAAAAGATTTCGTGTGACGCGTTTCGTTCTTTGAGGAATCCTCGCTTTACATTGTTCATCGCTTTTAATATATATTTAATATACGAGGGGTAGTGTTTTTTTTGTTTGTTTTTTTACTCGTACATACATCACGAAATCTGAATATCCCAATAACTTTAGATAACCGTTTAGTCAATATGTTTAAACCAATCTCTCTCTCTCTCTCTCTTTCTCTCTCCCGAAACATGACTGCAATTGTGTAGCGATTATAACATGATTTCTGTGTGATATCCTAAAATAAAGAATATTGCTCTACATGTATTGAACCCTCTTTTAAATTAAATGTTACGAACGTTGTAATTTTACTCTATTCGTTCTTATCTTACCTATATATATATATATATATATATATATATATATATATATATATATATATATATATATATATATACTAACAAATATGCCGTAGGCAGGTGAGGCAATAATATATATATATATATATATATATATATATATATATATATATCGCTTCGCCAACAGATCAATAAAGCATTAACTTACTAAACACTCTTTGAATGACACGATCCTTATGTTTAAAATTATCAGAGGGATTACATGTTCCGTTGCTATTTACAGCAAAAACAAATAGTGGATGTGACACATGACTAAAATAAAATCCTCTCACATGAAATATTTAAAATACAACTCTAGCATTTCGACACTTCACATTCCAAACTTGTACCCTTAATAAATAGCACACTTTTAAGAAAAAAAGTTATGGCGTTTGTGTGGAGTTGGGCGAAAAGTTCTTATTTTCTGGAGGTATGGTTAATGAGCAGCGGCAATTCTAAAACATTTTAACATAAATGGAACTTAAGGAATTTGATAATTTCAATATTGTATATTGCTTCTGCTCCGTATTTAGAGATTATTGAAAAAATCCAAAAAAGGATCTGCAATGTCATCGGTCATGACCAGACATCTCGGCTTC